GGATCAACATAGTTACATTATCAAATCTTTCTTGAACAACAACAAAAAAACATTTACACGTTGATGAATTTTAGAACAATTTTTCTTCTACTTTCTCATTTTTTGGCCACCACTTTAAATAATCCTTTCTCATTATTAATACCAAATAGACATAACAAAGTGGTGGTAGTCTAATCGTTAAAAAAAATTAGGAGAAGGTATAAATTCTTTCAACTTGAGTTCGATTATTCTTGAAAATATTTTCACTTTCATTTGGTTAAGTCGAAACGGTACCACGTTTTAGCCCTATTAAAAAATTTGGTGACCAGTCGAAATAGTGCTAGACTTTGAACCCATTAAAAAATATTGTGAGTAGGTTATTCGATGACTACACTTATTCTAGAAGATTACTAATGTGGTACAAACTTGCTAAAAAAAAAAATAATAAAGAAGGCCAGCTGCTTTTTTGTTTCTTGTTTTTTTATAACGTCTATTTATTTGCTCAATTACGCCTACTTGCTTACCTCTCACCCTCATCTTCTTCCCTGATCGTACAGTCACTGGCCTCTTCTGAAAGAAAGATCCCAACTTTTGAAAAAGATTAAAAAAACCTCTGCTCAAAATCGTCGTGTCAAAAGTATACTCTGTTTTTTTGCTTTGCGAGATCTATCAATCATGGCCGTTGATTCAACTGACAGGCGAGATTTCATCGTGAAAATCAACGGCGAAGATAACGGAGGCGTCGGTGCTACAGGTTCAAGCAGCAATGCCGTCGGAGGAAACATTTGGAATGAATCAAGCTATGATTTTTGGGATGGTGAAAAAGGTAAGAATGATGATAAAGAAGGAGGAGGAGGCGGCGGAGCCGACGACGAAGACGGTGGGAGTTTCCATTTTACGCGGCGGAAGGCGAAGTCGGAGGATCTACCTCATCCACCGTTGAAGCTAAGCCATCAATTTCATCAAAAGCAGAAATCTTCCGGCGGAGAGATCTCCGTAGATATTGATCAGCTTAACATGGCGGAGCTACAGAGCAACACGGCGGCGACTGGCTTAACGCCGATCTCGGAGTCATCTTCTCCGTTCACGGTTAAAGTTAAATCCGACGCGGTTAGACAGAGGCAGAACAGATCATGGCTCGGTGGAAGTAGCGACGAAGAAGGTCGTAACGGTAACAGAGACGAAGCAGAGGTTGTGAAGCGTAGCTCGAATAAACCGGTACTGAGCAGAAACCATACGAAATCTAGGTTGCTTGATACGCCGACACCGACACATCCAGCGATTGACAAAACAGAGATGAAATCTGGTCGGAGATCCGGGATGTTGAAATCAGGGTTTCTTGGGAGAAGCCCTAAACCGGGGACTCCATCTCGCGGCGGGATCTTTGATGAAGAAGAAGAGGAAGATCCGTTTCTTGACGAGGATCTACCAGAAGAATTCAAAAGGGACAAACTCAGCATATGGGTTTTTCTTGAATGGATAAGTTTAGTGCTAATAATCACGAGTTTGGTATGTAGCTTAACCATACATAACTTGCAACGCAAGACATGGTGGAAGCTGGCTTTATGGAAATGGGAAGTGACGGTTTTGGTGCTGATTTGTGGGAGATTAGTCTCGAGCTGGATAGTGAGGATACTCGTGTTCTCGGTGGAGAAGAATTTCTATTTGAGGAAAAGGGTTTTGTATTTCGTCTACGGAGTACGAAGATCGGTCCAAAACTGCTTGTGGTTAGGGCTAGTGTTGCTCGCGTGGCATTTCTTGTTCGATAAGAAAGTACAAAGAGAGACTCGGTTTACTGCGATTAGGTACGTGACGCGAGTGCTGGTCTGTTTGCTCGTCGCTGTGATCATTTGGTTGATTAAGACAATTCTGGTTAAGGTTATGGCTTCATCGTTCCACATGAGCACTTACTTTGATCGGATTCAAGAATCATTGTTCACTCAATACGTGATTGAAACTCTTTCGGGTCCTCCTTTGATGGAAATTCAGAGAATGGAAGAAGAAGAGCAGAAAGTAATAGAAGATGTCAAGAGCTTAGAGAAATTAGCTGGAGCTAAGTTGCCTCCAGCTCTAAAAGCGACGGTTAAAAGTTTTATGAGAGTCGGGAAAAGTTCGAAATGGTCTCGGGTTGGTTCGAAGAAGGATGGAGATAGCGAATGGATAAGGATTGATCGTTTGCAGAAACTGAACATAATGAATGTGTCTGCTTGGAATATGACCAAGTTGATGGATATCATACGAAAAGGCGCTATTTCTACTTTGGATAAACATATACAGGAGACAGTTGATGAGGACGAGGATGCTACACAGATAAGAAGCGAATTTGAAGCAAAAATCGCAGCTAAGAAGATTTTCCACAATGTCACTGAGTTTGGTTCCAAGTATATATCTTCAATTTGATCATACTTCTCAAAGTTATTGATTTAGTTTTCGTTTATGCTAAAATCTTGAGAGTATTTTTTTCTTCTGCTTTTAGGTACATACATTTGGAAGACTTCTTGCGTTTTCTGTCTGAAGAGGAGTCTGAAAGAGCAATGGCTCTATTTGAAGGAGCTTCAGATAGCCATAGGATCAGCAAGTCTTGCCTCAAGAATTGGGTGGTAAGTTTTGAATTCATAACCTCAAGAATCTTTTTCATATACAAAACAGAGTTATCGCTTGAGACCGCGCGTGATTTTTTTCACAGGTTAAGGCGTTTAGAGAACGGAGGGCTTTGGCTTTGACCTTAAGCGATACAAAAACAGCAGTGAATCGGCTTCACCGTATAATCAATGTGTTGATTAGTATTATAATCATAATCATCTGGCTTCTTATACTTGGAATTGCCACAACCAGATTCTTGCTAGTCTTAAGCTCTCAGCTCCTTCTAGTAGCTTTTGTATTCGGAAACTCGTGCAAAACCATCTTCGAAGCCATCATTTTCCTTTTCGTTATGCACCCATTTGATGTTGGTGACCGCTGCGAAATCGACGGTGTTCAGGTTTGTTCTCTCCTAATACACAATAAATGGCTGGTCTTGTAGTGTGACATGGGTTCTGATCTTGTCGTTTCTTTTACCAGTTGGTTGTGGAGGAAATGAACATATTGACGACTGTTTTCTTGCGGTATGATAATCAAAAGATCGTATACCCGAATAGTGTTCTCGGCACAAAACCTATAGCTAACTTTTTCCGAAGTCCCGATATGGGAGATGCCGTCGAATTCTGTGTTCACATAGCAACTCCTCCAGAAAAGATATCTGCTATTAAACAGAGAATACTCAGGTTAGCTAAAACCCTGACCGATATCTAGCTAGATTAAGTCCCTTGTAAGTAAAGATTCTTAACGATTTTTTTGAAAATGTTTTCATGCAGTTATATAGACTACAAGAAGGATCATTGGTATCCTGCACCTATGATTGTGTTCCTAAGCATGGATGATATGAAAAGTATAAAGATCGCGGTGTGGCTGACACACACAATGAATTTTCAAGATATGGGAGAGAGGTTTATAAGGAGAGGTCTATTACTAGAGGAAGTTGGAAAAATTTGTAGAGAGCTCGATATCGAGTATCGTTTATATCCTCAAAGCATTCATATCCGAAGTATGCCTCCTCCGCTTACTTCCGGGGTTTCAGACCGTCTTCCTCCTCCCTGGATGCAGCCACGCGGTGCCTAAATTGTAAAGATTGTTGAGAGAGAGAGAGGAAACTTTTCATTGCGTTTACGAGAAAGCAGAATATGATTTTTGTGTGTGTATGTATAGTATATGAATGGTTTTCTTAAATCTTTTCTTGAAGTAGTAATTTGTGATTCAAGAATATAATATAGTCATTGTAATAGGCTTTAAGACATTTTCTTTATATTGTTCTATTAAATGGAGGATTAGAACCAGAAAATGAAGACGCAAATACAAGTAAGTGGCAGAGAGATTATCAAGTAGGCAAAAGAGTATCCAATTACTTACAGTGCACACTCACTAGTAATCAGAACTCACAAGTAAATGTGAAGGTGAAAACTAAAAAGTAATAAAATATTTTCACATAATTTCTATTTTTTGTAAACTAAATAAGGAAATAGGTGATACAATGACAAAACAAAAATGGTACAATATCTTAAATTTTAAATAAATAATATTGAAACCGAAACGAAAACATGGAAAGTTTTGTTTTTTTGACATTGATTCCCAAAAAATGTCATTTTAGAGCTGTTTCACAAACAAATGTTATTTTTTAGAGTATCATTTTATCATCATATTTATAAATTACTAGTAATATTTTGACGTCATAATATTGGATTAATGTGAGATCGGATCGCGGAATCATATTTATCCAACCGCGCAAACCGGGATTGAATTCGGATCCCGAACCGGATCGGTTTTCCCCTGAGGTTTATTCGGTTAAACCCACCCGAATCCCTAAAGTTCGGGTCTTTAAAACCCAAATCGATTACCGGATCTGATATTCTTCGATCCAGCTTCATCCACCCGTAACCCTTAAAACAACTCCTCGGATCCTCCGATTCTAGTCTCCACAGATTCTGACGGCTCTTTTCTTTTATAAACAAACAAACAAAGGTGCCTCAGTTTTCAAATTCTTCCTCTGCTTCTCCTGCACTGTTTCTTCATATCAAAACTCTACCTTTGTTCGCAAAACTCAAAAGGGTTGTTTTTAATTTCTGATTTTGTTACAGTGTTATGCCTAATTCCATCCCGAAATTGTACTTGTGATTGGTTTCATTCAGCTTTTTTTTTTATCTGTTTTGTGTGCTTGTGTTATTGTTGAAGAATGTGGCGCGATTTGATCTCTTTTGCATTATGGTGTTATGAGAGTGTATAAATGCTTGATGGGTGCTTTAAAGATGATCTTTTTAACACTCATGACATTGTAATTGTGTAAAGTAAGTGTTTTTATTCTTTTTGCTGTCTAAATTTTTCATCAATCAATGTATAGGGTGGATTTTGGTGGAGCAGAGTTTTTGATATGATGGATGAATCAAATGAGATCATCCTGCAGAAATCAAAGAGGTTGACATCTGTTGTATGGAATTACTTTGAGAGAGTGAGAAAGGCTGATGTGTGTTATGCTGTTTGCATTCAGTGTAATAAGAAACTCAGCGGATCGAGTAACAGCGGAACGACTCACCTCCGAAACCATCTTATGCGGTGTCTCAAAAGAACCAATCACGACATGTCTCAGTTGCTGACACCGAAGAAAAGGAAAAAAGAGAATCAAGTTACCGTTGCTACTATCAATTTCGATGAGGGTCAGGCGAAAGACGATTACCTCAGGCCTAAGTTTGATCAGGAACAGCGTAGGGACGAGGTTGTTCTAAGCCGAGGGAGTGGAGGAAGGTTTAGTCAAGAGAGGAGTCAGGTTGATCTTGCACGTATGATTATTTTGCACGGTTATCCGTTAGCAATGGTTGATCATGTTGGTTTCAAAGTGTTTGCTAGGAATCTTCAGCCGTTGTTTGAAGCTGTGCCTACTAGCACCATTGAGGATTCATGTATGGAGATTTACATTAGAGAGAAGCAGAGAGTGCAACACACTTTGAATAATTTATACGGTAAGATCAATCTTTCGGTGGAGATGTGGTCTTCAAAGGATAATGCTAACTATGTGTCTTTGGCCACTCATTATATCGATGAGGAGTGGAGGCTACAGAGGAATGTTCTCAACTTTATCACCTTGGATCCTTCTCATACGGAAGATATGCTCTCGGAAGTAATCATCAGGTGTTTGATGGAATGGAGCCTTGAGAGCAAGCTTTTCGCTGTTACGTTTGACAGTTTCTCTGTCAATGAAGAGATTGTCCTGCGAATTAAAGACCACATGTCTCAGAGCAGCCAGCTCTTAATCAACGGGCAGTTATTTGAGTTGAAATCCGCCGCTCATCTTCTGAATTCTGTCGTCCAAGATTGCTTGGAGGCTATGAGAGATGTGATCCAAAAGATTCGGGGAAGTGTGAGATATGTCAAGAGCTCACAATCAACACAAGCAAGGTTTAATGAAATCGCTCAACTCGCCGGGATCAACTCTGAGAAGATCTTGATTCTTGATTCTGTTGTTACCTGGAACTCTACTTACGCGATGCTTGAAACCGTACTGGAGTACAAGGTTGCGTTTTGCCATTTGCGTGATCACGATCACGGGTTTGATTCATCTCTAACCGACGAGGAGTGGGAATGGACAAGATCCGTTACCGGTTATCTTAAACTTGTATTCGAGATTGCCTCTGTTTTTTCTGGAAACAAATGTCCGACAGCGAATGTATACTTTGCTGAGATGTGTGATATCCACATCCAGTTGATCGAGTGGTGCAAGAACCAGGACGATTTCTTGAGTTCTCTCGCAGCAAGGATGAAGGCTAAATTCGATGAGTATTGGAACAAATGCAGCCTTGTTTTAGCAATCGCTGCGATCTTGGATCCACGGTTCAAGATGAAGTTGGTAGAGTATTACTACTCTAAAATCTATGGTAGTACAGCTCTGGACCGTATCAAGGAAGTTTCAAATGGTGTGAAGGAGCTTCTTGATGCATATTCGATCTGCTCAGCCATTGATGGTGATGACTCTTCCTTCTCTGGGTCAGGCTTAGCTAGAGGTAGTATGGACACTAGAGACAGATTGAAAGGATTCGACAAGTTTCTCCACGAGACTTCTCAAAACCAAAACACAACATCGGATTTGGACAAGTACTTGTCTGAGCCGATCTTTCCCCGTAGTGGTGAGTTCAACATTCTGAATTACTGGAAGGTCCATACACCAAGATACCCTATCCTCTCTATGATGGCACGTGATATTCTGGGGACGCCGATGTCAATCCTCGCTCCTGATTCAACATTCAACCCTGAGAGACCGGTGATCGATGATAGTAAGAGTTCCTTGAGCCCTGATATTAGACAGGCTTTGTTCTGTGCACATGACTGGTTGTCTACAGAGGCAGAAGGTACAACACAAAAACTCTTTTAAAGTCTTCTTCTCCTTTATAAGAACTCAAAAGCCAATCAATCATCAACGTCTACTGACTTTGCCTTTAAATCTTATAGCGAGCCAAGAAATTCTACCATTGTCTAGACACTACGCCCAAGCTCTGTGAAGAGAACAACACAATTCAAGGTACTGAGCTTTTTCTGTTCCTCTCTTCCAACCTTTTTTTTCTTCATCATTTTTACATTGTCAGTTGAATTGTAAACTTTTTTACTTTTCTCGCAATACACACTAACTTTGTTGCTTATGAATCGGTATGCTCTGTTGTAGGATCACCAGATTATGGAATGTCACTAGTAGTTCTAAGGTGGTGAAAGGAAAGCAAAATGCACTTTTTTAGATGGTCGTGTTGTAGTGAAGATTTGGGGACAGAAAGTACAGAGGTTTAATTTATATTACATTTTGAGTTTGCAATTTCTATTTATGCCATTAGAAAGGCTAACTAATGAGTGATGATTGTTCTTGTAACAAATAGAATCCTCAAGTTTAAAGCAAAGGGAAACAAGTTATAGCAATCAAATATTATTTCTTCTTATTGTCTGTTTTTTAACTCTTTACCTTATCGTAACATGAAAACAAAACGAATTATAATAGGAGGCAATTCAAGGGATAATGGAAACTAGAACTAGGATTCTGTAATGAAAGTAAGAAAAAAAAACTCAAAATAGTCGTGTATAATAATATTAATGTATACAAAAATGTGTTGTAACGTAGGATTTGTAAAGAGAGCGAGCTACATGTTCGTCGTAGAATGCAAAAAAAAAAGCCAGTAAATGAATCACATGAGAAATCAAATTAGAGTAGAATCAGTATAGTGAATCTACCTGCAAAGATAATATAACAATGAACAAAGAAAAGAGTAAGTGTGTGTGTGTGTGTTGAGAGTTTTTACGTTCTCTTGTTGGGTTCGAAGACGTATTTGATCAACGAATCTTTGATGGATAGCATCTCAGGAAACTCCTTGCTGAGCTTGGCACCATCCATCTCGTTGTTGCTCCGCGCTGCGACAATGACCTTAGCCTGCTCTTCCAAAGTGAAATTGGACCATTTGAAACCCGGCTCGATGTAACTCTTGTACATCTCTAGTATCTCGTTGTGGCTCACCACTCCTGGATTGGTGAAGTTCCATATTCCCCTTAGGTTCCTCTTCGCCATCTCGATTGAGATTGGTAAGAGTTCGTCTAGTACGGTCATGCTGTTTGGGATGTTCACCACTTTGTTGTAACGCGAGATCTTCGTGATGAAGTTTCGCGGGTTGTTTAAGTCGGATGAGATTGGCATCCGCACTCTCAAGGTACATACGTTGTCAAATTCTCTTAGAAGCTCTTCGACCTGTCGAAAATAGAAACAGAGGATTTATGGACATAGTTTCAAGAGACTGAAAATCAGATGTCATTTAATAATGTGATATATATTTACCATAGCCTTTGTTTTTGAGTAGAAAGATCCGAAGAAATTCGGTTTGTCTTCTTCTTTGAAACCAATCCCTGAACCTTCAGGATGTGCAGCGTCATATTCAAAGATACATCCGGTGGCAAAGTTCATCATCAACAGGTCATTCTCTCTGCAAACATCTGCCAGAGTCAAAGTACCAGCAACATTGACTCGGATGGTCTCGGGTTTGTGGGATTCACACCAGTCAACATTGGGTCTGCCTGTCAAACCAGCGGCATTGAAGACATGAGTAGGTTTGACGCTGCGAATATCCGCCATGAGAGAAGCTCTGTCCTCTAATCTCCCTTTTCCATACTCGTACGGAATCCCTTGCTTCTCACATAGTTTTCCTAGAAGACCACCGAGCCACCCAGTCTTCCCATAGATGAGGAACTTTAAGAATGTTTTGTCTCCGGAACCACCCTTCTTGGTGGGAGTAACCACCGTGAATGTCTGATTACCACCTGCATCCTTGCGCTCGTCAGAGCCATCAGAGAGTCTATCACCGGGCATCATCAGCATCCGTGGATGAGGAAGCAGAGCTCCAGAAACATCGCCCCACCACTCAGGGTTCTCAGTATACCATTCCATTGTCTTCCTAAGTCCTTCTTCCCAAGTGGTTCGCTCAGACCATCCCAATTTCTTCAGCTTCTGGTCATCGAGGAAGTACCTCTGGTCATTAAATGGTCGATTCTCCACAAACTGAATGGTGGAGTCGGGATCTATTCCAAAGAGTTTGGAGATGTCGTTGGCCACATCAATCACTCTCCTTTCTTTCGTTGTTCCGATATTGTAGACATGGTTAACTTCTCCTTTGTGAAGAACAACCTCAAATGCCTCAGCAACATCTTCACAGTAGAGGTAACTCCTAACGTTAGATCCATCTCCGTGGATCGGGAGTGGCTTCCCATTCATAGCCAACAAGATGAACTTAGGAATCAACTTCTCAGGAAACTGGTTAGGACCATAAACATTGTTCCCGCGAGTTGTTATAACTGGCAACCCGTACGATCTACCATATGCCATCACAAGCATCTCAGCTCCAGCCTTAGTGGCAGAGTATGGATTGGTCGGGAGCAACTGAGAAGCCTCACAATTTCCAACCGAAGCATCCTCATCGGTCTCTCCATAGACCTCATCGGTACTCACATGGATGAACCTCCTGATCTGCCCAGTGACTTTGCAAGCTTCAAGAAGGACATGGGTACCATAAATATTGTTCTTGGTAAACTCAAAGCTATTACCGAAAGAGTTGTCAACATGGGTTTGAGCAGCAAAGTGCATAATGGTGTCAATGTTTTCGGTAATGAGAAGGTAGTTAACGAGGTCAGCGCTGGCGATGTCTCCCTTTACAAACTTGAAATTAGGAGAGGATTTTGAAAGATTGAGGTTTTTCAGGTTTGAACAGTAATCAAGCTTGTCAAGCACAACGATTTTGTAGTCAGGGTAGCTGCGAACTAGCCTGTTGGCAACATGGGACGCTATGAATCCAGCAGCCCCAGTGATGAGAATGTTCTTAGGCTTATATGTAGCCATGTGATATATGATATCTGCAACATCAGCAAAACCATCATGAATTATAGTCACCAGATGTAAAGTCATGGA